TTGTATTTATTTATTCATTTGATATGGACCCAACAGTTACAGACAGACCAGAAGCCTTTAGGGTCATAGCCAGGCCCAAAGAGGCTTTCACTGTGTCAACATTCTTATCCAAGTCAAATTTAGCTCATGTTTGTATCATAGTGTTAGACAATGGTTTAAAGCGGAAAGAGTTCGTAGCTATACATAAATTGGGCGACATTAGAAAACTCCAGACGTTAAAAAGTGCTCAGTGTGAAATAGTGTCAAGCTCTCAGTACAATGTGACTGCGTTAAAATCAGATTTGCCAATTTTACATTCATATTTTTTTTAATTAAAATAACAATATAAGCAATTTCTCACTTGAAATTAGAGAACAACTACCCAAAATATTTAAAAACAAACAATTGTATTAGTTATAAAATAATGAAAGGCAGTGAAAGTCTTATAACTGATATATTTAGAAGTAGTTTTTAGGTATTTACTCTATATTTGTGTCTTTCAGTGGTTTGTCTGCGACGCTTAAGTCTGGGCGGCTCTCAGGAGCTGATCCGGGGCTTGGGGCCGTTTAGTATCAGATAAACTTTGTCCAAACAGAGACAGGGATCTGACACCTGTGGCTCACACACAACACTGATTATCTCCAAACACTCGCAGCTCAAAGAAAATCACCGGTTCTCGTTCATTACATTTGGATAAACAAGTTTACAGAAAATATCACATATAGATATTTAGATAAGGTTAACACGACACAGACCGCAAAGGCCTAAAATCAGTGAATCCTGACTTTATCTGCAAGGTTTGGCAAAATATTGAATGGCGATATTTCTTACACACTTAGCGGTTTGTTTAAAAAATCTGATTTTGTTCAGAGTGAAATACTTTAAGAGAGTTCCAGATATGCAGCGATTACCTCGTACAGAATTCCCACATATTTCAGAAAATGTTTGAGTTCTAACCTGTAAACTATAAAATAATGATAATAATAATAATAATTACAACAACAAAAAATCATTATTTTTTTTTATCTTTAGGTACAAAATTCTCATAGTCAGACCTAAGTTGTGTACATTTTGACAGTGTATATTAATTATACAAAATAATGCTTCTGTCCAACAACAAGACGAAAGATACTTGTTCCATTTTCAAAATAAACCTAAACACAGAGACATTTACTATTTTTGTTTTCTTAAGTCATTTTTTATTATTTAAATAATTGCAGTTTTTAATAATTGTGACCACGAAATTTGCGATTTCCATTCTATTGCAATAAACGTGCAGGCCTCATACTGTCTACTGTGAGTTATTTAAAGTATATTTGGTATTATAACAGGCCTTGCATTCACATCTACCCCTCCCGTTATTATTAGAGATCCATGCTCCCCCCTCCCTCACACATTCACAGACCGATAACCAGCAATGATATCGACAGCAGAGCAGTTAAACCCAGCGCAAATAAAGCCGCATCTCGGTCTCTGCACCCGCTCTTACTTTGTATAATGTTGGACACAAACATCTGTGCCATCTTCAGCTCCACAGGACAGATTAAACCGGACCCCATCGGAACCAGCACTAAGCCCCTGCCTGCAGAGCCGTCCCATTTGCGGCAGGATTAAACGGGGGGTAGCGGTAAATCCATAGCTTTCCCGTGTGGGCCGGTTCCCAAGACGGCAGACTGATACGGGAACGCCATAGTCACAAGTCACTATAGAACCAACAGTACAGCTCCAGTTTATACAGTACACAGCTTATACTACTGCCTTCATGCGTAATGGCCAAACCAACGACCCACATAAGTGTACGTTAAAGCTGGGATACCTCACTTTTTTGATTCATGAATACAACTTGTCCCAACAGAAAGAGTTATTTAAGTAACATCTTCTGAACAAATGAAACCACGGAATGCTTTATCTCATTAGAAACAATCGTATAAGCCTATAGTGATTGGCTTCGTGGGGGGTGATAGCTGGAGCAAAGATAATGACAGACCAAAAATACATAAATGAACACTATAAGAACCAGAACCAGTTTTGGAGCGAGGAACTATATGGGTTTAGTTACGTTATTAGTTGTGGTTTCAAAGTTGCTCCAGTTTTACTTTGATTATTATCATTGCAGCCAATATATAAAATAAAACAAGTGTTCGATTGTTTCATCAAGTATTTGCTCGCAGCGGGAGCCACAAGGACAGAACCTTCTATTTTTATTTATTTTTTAACAGAGACAGAACCCGCGAGAATTCCAAATTTGCGTAATGACGTAAATATACGGAGACAAAATACAGAAACCAGGTTAACTCGAAACTCCGCGTTAAAACGCATTTGTTTTTATTTAAAATCATGTCTGTAAGCTTTCTTCCAATACAATGCACAGTATAATAAAGTGCATTTTATAGTGACTTTTTTCGTTTGAATGCAGGTCACAGTCTGAGCTAAACTTCATGCACCTTGTTTTCCAATAAGCTTTCGATTAGTTTTCGTCGCGTGGGTCTGTGCGCGTCCCTCGTTGCGTGATAAGTGTGAATACCTGACCAAACTAATTGGAGTGTACTGTGGGTCAATCCACAGTACCAAATCCCCAAACATAGTTAAAAACACTTAACGACGCAGCCTCCATTACCGCGCAATTAGTATTTCTGCTTTACGCACGCAGAAAGAAGAGGCCGTCACCATGGATCTGCTGTAGCCCGTCACATACACCAAACAATGGACAATAGGCTCTAGTTTGGGAGGAAACATTAGTATGAATATGGTGCCAATACTTTGAAAAAACCCTGAGATAGAAATACAATAAAAACCAGCCAAATTGTTGAAAAAGAATGCAGCTTTAGTCCAATTGAAGCCCATTGATCTCTTTGTGCAAAATAAAAGGAAATTGTGGGAACATCTATAAACTAAACTGAACTAAACTGACATCCACAAACTCTAAAAATACCACGATCAACATAAAACCCAACTTTTAAAGCTTGCGTTTGTAATTAGCCTTGAATGGGGCATTTGCCTAAAAAGAAGCTGCAGAAAGGCGCAGGGAGAATGAAGTGAAAGCCTTTTTTATCAGGTTTAAAAGCTCCATCATCTGCGCTGTTCTCCGGGTTTAATATTGCACGCCATTAGAGAGTTTTATTATTTCGGTTTTATTCTGGCTCGAAGGTCACACGGTTTTTTCTCCCTCAGCGCAGCCAATCAGAGACGAGCAGGGTTCTCAAAGCAGCAGGGAGCGCGGCCCTTTCCCATTAACACCCTGAGTGTCCGCGCTAACGAGGGCCACATACACACACACACACGTACAGACACAGACACACACATACACATACACACGTATACACACACATACACCCGTACACAGACACACACGTACAGACACACAAATACACGTACACACACACATACACACGTACAGACACACACATACACCCGTACACACACACATACACGTACAGACGCACACTCCCTTTAAAGATACAGCTCCCTCTGGCCTGTGTGGAATCACGTGGTTTGGAGATCACAAATGAATGGCCTATTTTTTCTATTTGATTTGGTTTATATCAATGTGAGATGCTATAAATAAATATATAATTATATAAATTATTGTGAACACAGGCCAGAAAACACAATGGAGCATTACTCATGAGCTGTTTCAAGGCAAAAGCTAAAATGGGTCTGGGTCCTATTTGAAAAAGGGGCAATGAAATTAAATCTGTCGTTTTCCGTGGCTTCAGAATGAAAAACTACTTGCCTCCATTAAAAACCAATAATATAAAATGTGAATGGGAGCAGGGAGAAAACTAAATATCGCATGAATAGCTTCACTGCGATGGTATTGAAGGCTATGGACGAGTGGACCTGTAATGGCAGAACACTCGCTTGTCTGTGGCGTGGTCGTTGGGACACTTGTAATGGCTGTAATTTCAGTGCGTAATCTCCCCACTGTACGTAATGACGGCATCACGCAGAGGCGGAGCTAACACGCTGCGGGAACGTTTGAATGCACGGACTGGAATCATGCAGATCTCATTCCACTGTGTGTAGGCTAGAGCTGCTATCAACTACAGTGACACAGTGAAGCTAAGAGTCATATGTTCAAACAACATATAACGTATGGTTTGAATAGTGCAGGGGGTGCAATACTTTCTCCGGGGGGCCACATTGGGGCCAGACCAGTTACATGTCATTAATGATGCAGTCAGTGATTTTTTCAAGACGCATTTCTTTTAAAATATTGTGTAAAAACGCCCCTAAACCCTAAAAGTATCAAGTTATCATGTGTTTTCAAATAGTAATGGAATTGACCAGACGCCTATAGTTTCCAAAAATGATTTTAAAAATATATTTTGGAGCAGACCAATAAAAATAAACCAATGTGATTGGTTCATCTCCAACGAACCCATGGGATGTGTTTACCGCCTTCACCCTCTTCCTGTTTCTCACAAGTGCACCGGAGTTATCGGATTTTATAAAACCTAAAATGGCTGAACAGAAAATGCCTATTTCACGTTTTACGAGGGAGGGGAGGAGGGAGTGGTTTGGTGGAGAGGGGAGAGGAGGGGGGAGTGGTTTCCAGTTGGTGCTACGGCTAAGCTAACAACATTGCTTACTGCATCTTTAACTTGACAACAACAAAGAACTATTTCCTGTGTAAGTTACTTCAGTTAAAAACGTCTTCATTCGATTAAACATGGAGCCATCATTCATTTAATCGATCGCTGCTTTAAACAGCTGGAGTCTGGAGACCACATAGAAACGTGAAAGCGGCCGCTTGTGGCCCCCAGCCCACAGTTTTCCCCGCTCTAGAATAGTGAGATGTCTTATTATAAATATAAATATAAATAAATCTTATTTATGGAAGCTAAATGACTGCGTAATATGAGCATGGAAGTAAACGACCAATAAAACAGCGATGGTGACCATGTGGGCGTGGCCACGACTGATTGGCTGAAGCGTTATCCTCATGTTCTCGTCAAAAGTTACATTTGTTGAGGCAGTAATTTGCGACACAAACCCTCAGGTTGCACTCATGGTCTCACCTGTGTTTCGGAGAGGTTGAGCTGCCGCGCCAGCTCCGTGCGCTCCCGGCCCACCACGTACTGACAGCGCTGAAACTCCAGCTCCAGACGGTACAGCTGCTCCGCCGTGAACGACGTGCGCGTGCGCTTCGGCCGGTCCAAGTCCAGGCCTTTGGGCAACACGATCTCTCTTATAGTGCCTTTGGCGTCTGTGGAGCGACAAGAGCTTCAATGGCAAAGTCCTTTCCATGTGCACCATTTAATACAGGTGTAATTTATCCATATGTTTAAACACAGGTGTAATTTATCCTTGTACCGTGTATTTTAATACAGGTGTAATTGATCCACTTTGGTCAAACATGCGTCACGTGATAAGCTTCATGTCCTAATGATCAAAGGCATCTGAGAAAAGATGAATTGGTTTCAGTTTCTGAGTGTAACCGTTTCCAATGTTCCAATAACTAATAAACATAAGCTGTGCTGCTGAATGTGACTTGATTTTATAAAAAAATGGCCTCCTGCTTTTTTATGTTAAATACAGGAAGAAAATGTGAAATTCATCCATAAATAATAAATACATAGTATATACTTTTTTAGTTTATATTTGTGTGTTAGTTTCTGACAGTGAAATCTGAACCTAAACGATGTTTGGTTTGCTCCTAAATAAAGTAATCACAATAAACAATGAAAACAAATGAGTATATATATATATATATATATATAAAAAATGTGTGTGTCACACATGAGCAACAAGAATTATGTTTTTATTCCTGTTTCTGATGAACCGGTGAGACGCAGACGCCATTGTGTGGTGTTTTCTGGTGTTGGAGCTGCATAAATAACTCATACCATATAAGGACCATTCTCTGGTCCTGTGCAGTATTTGCGTCACTATGAAATATTTGTTAGTATATTTATCACATTCGGGGCTGACAAGTCTCGCTCTTTGTCCATGGATTTACAATCATGAATTATGCATTTGAATTAAAAATGAAAAGGCCTGAATTAAAAATGAAACCAATATGATTTGACCAAGATTCCAGTTTCTAATGCTTTGCTGAGGTCGAAAGGAAAACAGAAGCATTTACAAGGAGAGCATTTGAAAAACTAACTTGGCTTTTTGGACAGATTTACAGATGTTGTTGGGTTTAAATATCAAACATGTTCAACCACCAATATTTCCATTCAAACCCACAGGCCTGAGCTTTATGCTTTATGTGTTGTTTCTCCATGTTTATAGTTTTAAGGCTTCAGTTCCATTTGTGCACATCATACATCAGTTTGCTCCAATATTAAAGGCGCTATTCTCTTTTGCACACACTTACTAAATACACCCTCGTCCATACATTATGTTTACGCACGCGTAACAACAGTGCGTCACGCGTAAACGACGCCCGCGGCCACACTCAAAAAAATGATTTTTGGGTGTAGTAATATATACTAACTCAAAAGTAGTAGTTTCTACCTATAATATCAACTTTCAGCAAAAACTATTTAAAAACATAAATATTTACACAGTATATTCAGGTAATTAATTAATTGAGTGGAAAGAGTACATCTTACTAGAGATTTGCTCGTACCATTTACATGATTTATTGTCATAGCACCAAAACCTGAAAAAATCAAGTAACTTTTAACTATTGGGTGAAGTAGTGACGCTACCCAGAATGCAATGCAGAGAAAAACATAAACTTCTGAAAAAATCTACATTTGAGCATTAATTTTGAGGGTGAATACAAAGCAAGTCTTAAAGCAAAATACGTGAGCAACATTTTGAACAAACAAATTTGACCAAATGAAAAAATTTAAATATATTTTTACCAACCATGATCGACATGGCCAAGTCAAAGTATGGCTTTACTTCCTGGGTTTGTCACTACATCAAATGTGTATTGTATGTGTGCCACAGAGTCTGTACACTGTACCACTTGTCGCTGAGCTCTATTTGAATAATAAATATTATGACATCCTAATGATACAATTAAAGTGGAACAACCCAAAAAGCATGTAGATAATAATAATTTAAACAGAAAAATTAAGTAATATCTACTTATTCACTTCATAACAGAAAATGATATAAACAAGTAAGATTTACCTAATATTTTAATATCTGATATTCCTGTATGAAAATAATTACATAACATTTACATAATATCCTCACAAAGTTTAAGGTTAGTAGTAAGTACATTGTACTTGATACTGGCAAGTAAGTTATACTTGATATTACAGCATTAAAATGTACTTAGAAATTTTGAGTGCAAATACTTACAATGCGTTTATTAAGTAAATTCTACAAGTAATTTCTTTGAGTGCACATGAAAGCGCCTAAATAAAAAAAAGTTAATGTATATGTGTGTGTGTATGTATTTATATATATATAGTGTACAGTGTACATAGGAGCTCGGCGATTTGCGTGCGCAGCAGAAACGAGCAGAGTGACAGACCCGCTGACCTCCCGGTGACCCTGAGCCTGCGCGCACCCCCACGTACACACGCGCGCGCACGCACTCACGCACACGCACGCTGGGGAAAAGAGTCACAGTCACTCCCGGCTTTATGAACAAAAATAGTGCGATGGCCGCTGATGCCCCGGTCTAAACCGATCTCAGTCTCCATAATATCAGCAACATATACACACACACACTAATATATATATATATAATGTATGTCCATTTTAAATGGACATTATATATGGACATAGTATGGACAGAGCAAAATCTATCTTGTTCTGGACCAGACCGTTCTCTTGCAGGCCAGTTAGATTTTCCCGCATGTGAGTGTTGTTCCTGCTTTCTGCAGTCTAGTGCGTACATCAGACACATTCAGAGCCTTATTATGGACAGTATCTTAGAAGCAAATGAACAAGTGTTTTGAATGGTCAAATATAAAAACCGTCTAAACGATGCGGGTGTTTCTGGATAACACAAATGCACAGATGACGACACTTTCAGAATATATATCATACAGTTTATATTGTCAATAATATGGCAATTTTAGATGATAACAAACCTGATAAATATGAACGACAATTAAAAAGAAATATCAACATCATCATTGTCATCGTCATGAGCACTTGCCCTTTATATACTGTTATGTGTGTGTTATTGTGTTATTATATTAGACTGTGGACATTCCACAGTCTAACACACAAACAGGCCTATTTTACAGAATAAATCCACACACATATATATATAAATTAATTAATACATTTAAAGCAGTACATTATGCACGTAAATATGGCTGCAGTGGAATAATAGATGGTTATGGGGTGCCCGGGGGTGGGGTGCCCGGGGGTGGGGTGCCCGGCCTCCTGCGGCTCAGGGCGTGGACCTGTTCTTCTCATATTTTGCTCAATAATAAAAAACAATCAGAGAAAAGTAAATAATATTTATGGCATTGTTTTGAGCTCAGTCTTTATAATAAAATACATTCTTGTTTCATCAGAACTGTCTAAATGTTACTTTATCACATTTAAACAATAATCTACTCACTTTATATTTTTATTAGAATTTAAATGTTTAATTTTCAACTGCAGAGAAGTTATTTTATCCATTATTTGCTTCTGTATAACGGCCTTAATGGAATAATAAATTATGATCTTAATGAATCATGTAAACTCTGCTCTTTTCGTTTTCTTAGTTCATGTTTAAATGTTCTCAGAGTTAATCGTCATGATTCATTCTGTTCAAAGCAGAAGTTTTAACATTAAACACTGTTTTTCTATTTCATCTTTGTAAAGATTATTACTTTATAGCCAGTGCTTATTTTAATATAAAAACATAATATTAACATAACTTCATATTTGATGTTATTTTTACTTATTGTAATGTTTGTCTCAACACTTCTTTTGTCTTCCTCTTAATCTCACATTTACAACAAATACGTGTCCAATGAAAACACATTTCCGTGCACCTCCTTTTAAAGACTGTATTGTTATAAATATGGACAAAGTGCGTTAAAGCCGTGACATCTTTAACGCGGTTCTGTTGATAATAAATGACATTATTATGGGCTGTTCTCTCGGATGGACCTTTTGCAGTGTTGTGCAGTGTCACTAACCTCTAACCAGGATGCGGCGGCAGTAGTCCGGGTCCACTCCCAGCAGTTTGTCGTGGCCGTCTTCACTGGAGGACGTGGGCGTGGAGGCGGACGTGCCCGGTGTGTCCGTGGAGCTGTGCACCGGGGAGCGGCTGCGCTCCGGGCACAGTGGGTTGGGTCCACAGCGGTGGCTCCCATCTCCCATCGCCGTGGTCTGGTCAAACATTTACAAGTGTGCGTAATGTTGTGCTGCTTCACGTCGCCTGGATGTGGAGCTCCTCTGTCCGCATGCCCTGACTCTCGGCCCGGCTCACGGCTCCCACATGCCGCGTCCACGGAGCTCGGCACCGGAGCAGAAACAAAAGAAAAGTTTGTGTCCGCGGAGCTCAGCGGTGCGCCCTGACCATAGTGCAGGCTGAGCGGCTTTGGGGAGGTCTGTGGAGGTCTGTGGTGGTCTGTGGAGGTCTGTGGTGGTCTGTGGAGATCTGGAGGGTCAGGGGGTCTCACACGGGGGCTGTGTCCGCGGGACGAGCGGGTGCACTGGGCCTGATGTCCACGCAGAGCTCCGCTGCTGTGTGGCTCAGATCTTTGGCGACAAGAACCACTTTACCGAGCAAGGAGCACCTGACGTCACTTCCTGCGCACGCAGCACGGCCTGTCATTGGCGCGGGAGCAGGGCACGTTTAGACTAGAGAAGAGCGCGAGGCGGACCGGCACCAGGCGCGAGAACATGACCCGATTTATGTTTCATTTTAGCCCCGAGTCTCTGCTCCTGTGCCCGGAACAAACACGGGGAGCCACACCAGAGTCAAAACGGATGAAAAAGTACTTTTGTATGTGCATTTGACAAATATTTCTTCACGACACCTCCACTTACACCCATCACCCACTGATGCACCCACACACACTCACAGAAGGCTGCAGACCCACACACACTCACAGACACACACTCACAGAAGGCTGCAGATCCACACACACTCACAGACACACACTCACAGAAGGCTGCAGACCCACACACACTCACAGACACACACTCACAGAAGGCTGCAGACCCACACACACTCACAGACACACACTCACAGAAGGCTGCAGACCCACACACACTCACAGACACACACTCACAGAAGGCTGCAGATCCACACACACTCACAGACACACACTCACAGAAGGCTGCAGACCCACACACACTCACAGACACACACTCACAGAAGGCTGCAGACCCACACACACTCACAGAAGGCTGCAGATCCACACACACTCACAGACACACACTCACAGGCTGCAGACCCACACACACTCACAGAGAAGGCTGCAGACCCACACACACTCACAGACACACACTCACAGAAGGCTGCAGATCCACACACACTCACAGACACACACTCACAGAAGGCTGCAGACCCACACACACTCACAGACACACACTCACAGAAGGCTGCAGACCCACACACACTCACAGACACACACTCACAGAAGGCTGCAGATCCACACACACTCACAGACACACACTCACAGAAGGCTGCAGACCCCCACACACTCACAGACACACACTCACAGAAGGCTGCAGATCCACACACACTCACAGACACACACTCACAGAAGGCTGCAGACCCCCACACACTCACAGACACACACTCACAGAAGGCTGCAGATCCACACACACTCACAGAAGGCTGCAGACCCCCACACACTCACAGACACACACTCACAGAAGGCTGCAGATCCACACACACTCACAGACACACACTCACAGAAGGCTGCAGACCCCCACACACTCACAGACACACACTCACAGAAGGCTGCAGATCCACACACACTCACAGACACACACTCACAGAAGGCTGCAGACCCCCACACACTCACAGACACACACAGAAGGCTGCAGACCTAAACACAAATAGATAAAAACGATAAAAACATTGTATGGCATATAACTGACAGCCACAGACATGTCCTCTGTAATAACATGTAAAGGTTTGTTTGCTCCAACAAAACTGTGTAATTGTTGTCATTTGTAACAAAGTTATTTGGATGAGATATGTGTTATTTATAATTACTGAGTTATAACACACACATAGTGCACGGATGGCAACGTGAACGCGCGTGTTTTCATAACACTCCAATTTGGTGATGTTTTGGCAGACTTTGGCACAGATAAATCAATAATAAAATGTCACCACATCTCTGGTATTTCTGCTCGTTAACAAAGAGCTGCAGACAGGGGTAAAAATCCTGCACAGAACATAAAAATTATTACTTAAAAAAACAAACAAACAAAAAGAAAGACAAAATAATACCTGACCTCACTGGAATCAACAGCTGCATCATGGGAATAATGTGTTCTTACTGAGACACATTATTTTGTATTGAGTATATTTAATTACATAATAAAATATATATATATTCTATTCAAAATTAACTCATTTTACACAGAGCGACATAAATTTGACTTCCTGTGCCCAGACAGTTAGTTACAGTTACAGTTACAGTTGGCTTTTAGTGTTTTCACAAACACGGATTCATTATTCAACCTGCACGGTCAGTCTGCTGTTGCTAAAATAAAGAGACTCAAACTGTCTTTTGGAACGTCCACCTTCTGCTGCTACTGCTACTGCTGCTGCTGCTGCTGCTGCTGCTGCTGCAGTTATGGGAGTTATAGCATTCACCAAAACTGTATTTCATATTTGAATGCCAAATGTTGATCTGTGCCAATTGCCCCCTGCCATTAGTGTAAACAGACTGTCAGCAGGTGCACGCTCTCCCTGTTACTGCTGCTGCTGCTGTTACTGCTGCTGCTGCTGCTGCTGCTGCTGTTACTGCTGCTGCTGCTGCTGCTGCTGCTGTTACTGCTGCTGCTGCTGCTGCTGCTGCTGCTGCTGCTGCTGCTGCTGCTGCTGCTGTGTTACTGCTGCTGCTGCTGCTGTTACTGCTGCTGCTGCTGCTGCTGTTGCTGCTGCTGCTGCTGCTGCTACTGTTGTTACTGCTGCTGCTGCTGCTGTTACTGCTGCTGCTGCTGCTGCTGTTACTGCTGCTGCTGCTGCTGCTGCTGCTGCTGCTGCTGCTGCTGTTACTGCTGCTGCTGCTGCTGCTGCTGCTGCTGCTGCTACTGCTGCTGCTGCTGCTGTTGTCACCACTGGCACATAAATATTTGTGTTTCCTCTTGCCCTTAAACATCAGCGCAGACCGTGAGCAGAAAGCCATTATCGCGGCAGATTATATAATTATAGTCTTGTGTCTTGTTGTGGCCCTTGTGTCGTAATTACGGCACGCAGCGTCTTTTCAGTCTCTCTTTAATCTGCAGCTCACCGAATAGAGCTTGTCAATCAAAGCATGCACTGGGGCCGAGGACAAGAGAGCCTGATTGCTACTGTCCTCCTCCCCGCGTCTCTCTCCGGACCCGCGCGTTTCAGCCTTGATTTCAACATTTCAGCCCATGTTGGTCCTGGCACGCATAATATTGGTCCAACATGCCTCTTGCTTTTGTTCTGCACAAACAGAGAGTCTATACATGAGAAAGTGGAAGTAGCAGTGACATGTCCTAATTTGGAAGAGCAGAGAATCTATAACACACATCCATATTCAGGAAATATAACTGTTCTTGAAAGGATCGTGTAGGATCCGCAGCAGCTGACACCATGTGTGAGTGCACTGAGCTGGTTTAGGGAGAGTGTCTGTGGCACTTGTTGCTGTAATAGTCTAGATTTGTCATCCGTCTGTGCAGGATGTAGAGGCTGCAGCTGAAAAGGAACTCACTTGTTGGCTCTGCTCAGTTCAGTCACAAAGGAGTGTAATTGTCTAATTCTTATTTTGTGGATAATACGCAGCGTTAGAAAAGTTTGAGATTTTCCAAATATAATTTCTAACTGCTTCCAGCCCTCTACTCATCAGCCCCATTGTGACGGTCACTGTCCCCGTATGCCCGTTAAACATGTGGAGTGTGTTTGCGCCACGCACCAGGTCCCTCAGCCGCGGCCTTGTGCGTCCCGTGGCCTCAAGGACGTGTATCTGATCAATCAGATCAATCAACAGAGATTACTGTAATCCCGGGTCAGCGAGAGGGTGACAGGCCGCGCAGAGTTCACGGCTCTGCGCAAATATGTGCGGGATGAACGCAAACTTTAGTGCACATTTAGACCGCGGATCGTTCGGAGAAGTCCAGGCCAGTCCGTGCGCATGCAGACCATCCATGATGCAGACACTGATCACACGCACGCCTGACGTACGTGCTCGAGACTGTTGCTTCTGTGTGACATGACCCGTGCACTTCATGGAGGCAGTAATGGACGCTTTAGGATCGTGGTTTAACGCTGCACAGAATCTGATCAGATGAAACAGGCTCAAATGTTCTGAGACGCACAGATTCACTCATGTAAAATATAAAGTGCTAATGTTAATATTTCATCACAGATTTTCCAAGCAGCCCAAAAGTGTCATGAGCGATACCCTCCGCCTCATGTTTATGTTTACATCCACGGGCCTCAGTGGAAACTAAATTCATTTTGGAATCCAAGTCTGTGCAGAACAGGCTTGGATTCCAAAACGAATTTCGTCTTTTTTTAATGCGATTTGTCTATAGTTGGCATATTACTAAAAACTAACCATGAATGTTAGCCCATGAATTGAAACTCTATAATTTAACACGTTTAGGCCAATTGGTTTAAATAAGTTCCATGTGTTCTGCAGAAGAAGACTCCAACCTGAATGAACTGTTTGAGGGTCGTATGCTCAATGACGGTAACTCCCAAAGCACTGCCACATCACAGAACTCTGCAGAATCACTTAAACTAATCTAATCTTTTATTTTTCATTTTTGGAAAACATAATTTGACCTAAGACAATTAAGATGCAATAAACAACGGCCCAACCATGTTTATACGTGCACCCGCTGTTCATTTACAGAACGTTCTCAAAGGAAACGGGTCTTTTTTAAACTAAAACACAAACAAAATGCACCGCGCACAGAAACTCACTTTCACATATTTGTTTTTCAGATGTGCTTCAGGCGAATAACGAACTAAAACTTAAACAACTCGATATATCTGCCGTGTCATAAGGCTGTTAATAGCACAGGCCTAATGGGTCTTATATATATTTACAGTCTGTGGCATAGTCCACTTTTTAAACCCATTAGTACCAAATGTGTGTCTTTTTCATAAACATTTAAGTCTGTAAATGTTCAAAAGATTGTCCAGGCCCGTAGCAAAT